CACTATATCTAAATAGTTAGAAATGCCTCATAAGAAGTTTCATTGTGAATCAGTACAAGTGATCAGGTTATTAACTACAACTAATCAACAGTTCACTAGAATATTGTACACATTGCCTACATCCGGATAGAAAATAACTACTGACTATATCAACGTAGGCAAGAATGCCCCGTGAGAAGTTTCATTGTGAATCAGTACAAGTAATAAGGTTATTAACTACAGCTAATCAATAGTTCACTACAACATTGTAAGCATTACCTAGATCCGTATAGAGAATAACTACTCACTATATCTAAGTAGTCAGAAATGCCCCATGAGAAGTTTCATTGTGAATCAGTACAAGTGATCAGGTTATTAGCTACAACTAGTCAACAATTCACTAGAACATTATAAGCATTATCTACATCCGTATAGAGAATAACTACTGATTACATCAGCGTAGGCAGGAATGCCCTGTGAGAAGTTTCATTGTGAATCAGTAAGAGTAATGAAGTTATTAACTACAGCTAATCAATAGTTTACTGGAACATTGTAAGCATTATCTAGATCCATATAGAGAATAATTACTCACTCTATCTAAGTAGTCAAAAATGCCCTGTGAGAAGTTTCATTGTGAATCCGTACAAGTGATCAGGTTATTAACTACAACTAATCAATAGTTCACTAGAACATTGTAAGCATCACCTAGATTCGTAGAGAGAATAACTACTCATAATATCTACGTAGTCAGGAATGCCCCATGAGAAGTTTCATTGTGAATCAATACAAGTGATCAGGTTATTAACTACGACTAATTACCAGGTCACTAGAACTGTGTAAGTGTTACCTAGATTTGTTTAGAGAATGACTATCCACTTATTGTTAAGCAGGCATGAGAAGCTGCCTTGTCATTCACTACAACTATTGTTGTAATCACTAAAAAGGTTTTGGTGTTACCCAGATTCGTGTATAGAATAACTATTTGTGATAGTTATAGAAATACAGCGAATATATTCAGTACAACTGTTGAAGGAATCATAAGAGCATTTAAGCATTTTACCCATGCATGTCTGTCATGCACTAATAACTAGTCACAGTAGCATAATTGCATATAGGAAAAATAACATGACAGCAAATGCATCACAACTACACTAATAGAATACAGAATGACAACATCACTTTAGTCATTAACCAATAATCACCAAATACATCACAATAACTGATTTACATATGTTTAATGACAAGTGGACATTAAGATGATGCTTTCAATTAATGTTTCATTGTCAATGACATCACCCACCTAACCGTCTACAATATTTACAATGATATAACAATAACAATTCAGGCATTGACTAACAAAAAACATGCCCAACAACATAACACTAACATGGCCATTAACCAAAAACCAACATGGCCAATGCACTAAACTATTTACATATCTTCAATCAAAAGTGTATATCATCCAATATCTATTATCAATCTATCACACCTCTCTTTATAACCCATTATACATCAATTGGAACCAATATAACGTGTTTCGCAGCGTTTCCGGATGAAAAATTTAAAGTTCAGAATTCTACTGTTCATCCTGTCCGTACACTATTCATCTGAAAATGGGCCAACTTTGAAAATTCATAACTAAATCTAGAAAAATAAAAATAAAGTGGTTCTAATTTTCACACAAATCTGGATAAGATTTCTGTGGAGGAAAAATAATCATTAGGTCCAATTACATCCAGAATAATTCCAGGAAATTCGTCAAAATGTACTATTCATTTGGTAAATTTTTGAATTTCCAGTATTTTTGCCCAACTTTGAAAGGGCATAACTCTTAGCGCACAACTCAGAATTTGATGAATTATCACTTGATTTAAAGCTTAAAATGAGATCTATTAGACTGCCAAATTTCACGCCCAGATTCTCACAATTGCTCATTATTTTATGTGCCACAAGTTTGACACTTTTTAGGGAATTGCTATCCCCTAATTACCCCTTTCTCTTTTTCCACATCCATTCCATAATGTACCATGCATAACTCTAACATTAGGGCATGAGAATAAAGTATAATACATATCATAATATCATCCATAACTAGATACCATCATTACATAAAGTTCAATGATACCTTACACAACATAACATAACAACATTAATTACATATTGCTCCACTATTCCAATACCAATTCTTTGCCTTGATCCATACTTGGTCCATTTCCTAATTAGTGCATAGAATGACATAGGAGGAATGAGATTTCAAAGAAATCCCAGTAGCATAAGAATTATAATTATCATGTAAATCAATGCAAGTTCAATTGTGACATGTTCATGCAATCCAAACCACTCCCAACTCATAAGAATTCATGCCAAATACCAGGCAAGGAGAGGAACATCATATCATCCACATTGACATACCACAAAGCATTTGGCCAAAGCATAACCAATGTCAATCAAACAGTCAAGATCACCACAAAATTCCTCCAAATCCAAGCAACAACAAATTACAACAAACAAGCAAGATAAACAATTAAATTATAATTCAAAGCTACCTTTGCAAAGCTTGTCCACTTAAGTCCTCCAAGGAGCAATGCTTCTCCTTAATTCCTCCTCTTAATGCCTATTAAACCAAGCATAAACATAGGCCATATTAATCACAAAACAACTTAATTCTAACACTTTAACATTAGCTTAACAATTCCCCCATTTTTCTTTGATTTTCAATAAAATGATTCCTCCTTTAGGATCAAACTTCTCATGACCCAATCCTACACAATTTTTCATGAGGAATCCAATGGTGCAATCAGATTTTTAAAATTCAAACTCCTTCCCCATGATCCTCACTTGGCCGAATAGGGGGCTATATGCTTCCAAAAATTCTATTTATGATTCCAATGATTTTAAACATCTTCCAACATTAAATCCCTACACAAAAACATTTTTTAAAGCCATTGGAATAATCAAATCAAGCAAACTCAAATTGTTTTTGCATGAACAGTGCAAAACGAAAATGAAGAACCAAAACCCTAACTTGGCTTTCTTCCAAAAATCAATCCATACACCACTTAATCTTGCTTATCCCACTTGATTATTAAGGTTTCTATCCTTCCCTAAGCATCACATATCTCAACCAAAATTTTCAGATTTTTTCAGCATTTTCCCAAGCAAAAATCCTTGTTTAATCAATGTAAAACTTAGGGATATTGATGCTTGGACATACCTTAGTGTTTCCTTGAAGTAGGTTGGATGATTTCTTGCCTAAAACACCTCAAAATTTCGTGCAAGTGTGGCTGGATGAACAGTGGTAGAGTTTCCCCTTATTTTCCCCAATTTTCTAACATTTTTCATGTATTTTCAAGGGGTATTTATAGAAAAATTCCATCTGCCCTCTCCCTCCTGATTTGCATGAATTGGGACAGCTCAATGGGGTTATGTGGCAGCCATCAAGTGTGGAAAATATTCAGATTTGAACAGGTGGCATTTCTCTAGATTTTTTCACAAAAATATCCCTTAATTTCACATTTTATTTAATAAAATGGTGGAATCTGGAAAGTGCACGAAATTGGTCCTTTAATAATTCTATTTTGGGCCCCACAAATGGTTTGGGTTTGCCCAAAAAGATGGCCCACAAACCAAATCGCTATCTCAAACCAATTAGAAACTTTATCGGTTACTATTCACTAGTAACATTTCATAATTTTTCCAGACATCCAAAAATTCCTTTCTCTTCATGATAATTCAACTTTTAATATGATAACATGATCTGGAAATTTTCAGAATTTTTCACCACCTCTAGGTATTTATTTTGAATTTTTCCCGGTTAGGCCTTTATCGGTGTCACTATGGGAAAATAAATTCCCTAGAATTAATCCTTGAGCTTCCAAGGCCTAAAACAAATTTTATAAATTCAAATAAACATTTAGATAAATTTTCCATCAATCTTCCAAATTTATTGAGGCCTTTAACTCATTAAAATAATTATTTTTCTTTATTTTCCCAGTAATTTCCTGAAAAACCTCTATTTATGGGAAATTCCGTAATAATTCATTTTCACCGAAATTTCACCTTTCGGGCCTCAACCGAGTTTCCAAGACCTCTACTCTCCACTTTCCCATTTTTTGAGGATTTTCTGGAATTTTTCTCAAATTTTCTCGTTTTGCCCTTCCTAGACTGATACTTACGAAAATGCCAGCCCAGACCTCCTCAGGGTTTCACATCAAAAGTTGTTTCATCTCCCCTTTTAGTTCCTAGATTGACGCTCATCCCAATTTTTAATCCCTTATAGCCAGGTGAAAATTTTTGGGATGTGACGTAATCACTATACAGTGCTAACAAAAAATGACACATCACATGGTGTACATCCCAAATCAAGTTGGATTTGGGTTTTTGCACGTCCTTCTTGTGTGTCCAACTTGATGACATTGAGTACAGCAGTATATCTTTTTGTCTTGGTATTGTGACTCATGCCTTGTAATCTTAGGCCTTTCAAGAGCTCGACTTGTAATTGGGGGTTGCAGTAAAATTTGATTAGATATATTCTCCATCCTATAGTCATTTACATTTGGCATGTCAATTCTAACCACCGGAATCATGCACCTGGCATAAATCTTTTGCTGATATGAAAATTTGTACCATCCCTCATTATAATCATAAATATCACCATGGACAGTTTTCACTGCTACACAAGCATGCCTACATGGAATCCATGTCATTTGCCACTTTGTACAACTACAATAGTGCAAGTTGAGACTCACTCGGTGGTGTCCACGTGAGGTTTAGATATTGATATTTCCCATACCATAATCTATTGTAATGACCTACTTACTAACCTCCATATTTTCCTTTAGTTTGGTCTCTATCTTTGGCCCTATGCAACTCTTTTATTTTGTCATTGCCACACTTGATGCTTGCATCTTTTTCGCAACTTTCTCACGATGCTCATAAACCATTTGGGCTACATTATGCTTTCTCTCCTTGACCATCCAAGCATTGAATGATTCAGTAATATTGGTGGTTATATTGTCCCATCATTTATATGGGAACTTGCTCACAGCCCACTTTTCTACATCCCCATGATTGTTAAGCCAATCAAATAACTCTGGAGAGAACTCTGTCATTTCTACCATTGCCTTGTCAAATTCATCGTCAACCCTAGCCCATGCAATTTTATTTAGAAGCATTAGCACATCCTCTTTTGAGCGTGTTCTGCTCCTTTTACTTCTGTTCAATTTGAGCCACGCTGCACTAAAGTTCTCCTTAACGTGCCTATAACAATATGCATACCTGTCAGAACCGAACACTGATTGCATAGCTCCTATTATGGCATTATGACTATCTGACACAATAATTAATGGCTTTGAGCCAACTATCTTTTTAATCATAGACATAAACCAAGTCCGGTTATCAATTGTCTCTCCCTTTACAATAGCTATTGCAAAAGGCAATAGCTCATTATTTGCATCGTATGCCGAAGCTACAAGGAGTGTTCCCTTATATAGTCCAGAAAAATGAGTTCCATCAACATATAGAATGGGTCTAGTACCAGCCAAGAAACCCTCTATACAACACCTGTATGCGATGAACACACGCTCAAATCTGTAGTTAGGACCAGTTACCCATTCAGCTACTGTTTTGTCATCAATTTCCTTCAACCTTTGGCATATCTATGGTATTAACATATATGATTGTTCAGGTCTACCATGTATGTCTTCTATTGCCTTCTCCTTCGCCCTATATGCCTGTTTATATGTAACATTCAGACCATATTCTGTTTGCAATTTCGCCCCTATTTCACTTGGCCGCTTGTCAGCATGGTTCCCCACCTCATCGATAATTATACAGGATGTCATATTAGATCTTGCACACTGTCTAACTTGCAAATTATCTTGGGCACTATGCACATGCTCACTAATGAATGTGGTGACATAAAGATATGGACCATTCTTCCCCAATACACTTGCACATATTTTCCATGGACAACCTTCCACTTTGCAAATGACAGACATCCTCTCTTCGCTGTTCCTCAAAAATTTAAGCTTAAAGTTATGTGTGATGCTAAACTTGTACAAATACTCCCTAAATAAACCAGCATGTGAAATTTTCTGCCCCATGCCTGTGAAAAGTTCCAACCGTTTACTACAGTTCATCTCAGTAATTTGTGCGCTTACATTCCCTCCACTAGAGCTTGGACCTTCATATAGGCCATCACTACCTACATATGAGCCACTTGGGACTTGATAAGGAATGCATTTAGCAGTATTTTCATGACCCACGTGCTCATAATCGTTTCCCAAACTGATATAAGATATAGCCATTTCCTATTATGACAATCCTAACAATCTTTCAATTTCAGTTCTGCATGCACGATAACCACAATTGTTGGCATATTGACAACATTTGTTCCTACATTCACTACATTAGCATAGCAAATAGCAACTTCCACCAGGAAAAAAAAATTTTACTTACATTTGTGCATCAATCATCTCATGTGGTTCTGTCTCAATTCTGCTTGCACGATCACTACATTCGTTAGCATATTAACAACATCTGTTCCCATATTAACTACATTAGCACAGCAAATATCAACTTCCACCAGGAAACAATTTTTTACTAACCTTTGTGCATCATTCATCTCAGGTGGTTTTGTCTCAATTTTGCATACACGATAACTACAATTGTTAGCATATTAACAACATCTGTTCCTATATTAACTACATTAGCACAACAAATAGCAAATTTACCAGGAAAAATTTTTTTTACCTACATTTGTGCATCAGTCATCTCTGGTTCTGTCTCAATTCTGCATGCATGATCACTACATTTGTTAACATATTAACAACATCTGTTCCTACATTAACTACATTAGCACAGCAAATAGGAATTTAAACCAGCAAAAAAAATTTTACTTACATTTGTGCATCAGTCATCTCATGTGGTTCTGTCTCAATTTTGCATGCACGATAACTACAATTGTTAGCATATTAACAATATCTATTCCCATATTAACTATATTAGCACAACAAATAACAACTTCAACCAGAAGAAATTTATAACTTACATTTCTTGATCATTGATTTTATGTCTTTCAATCTCATTGCCTTTCAACGATACATACACATGCGTAATGATGTCATTATGCCCAAAAATATTTCTAACTCTGCCATCATCAACAAGATCAATTAATGTCCTCTCATCATACTTGACAGTATACTTAATGTCCCAACTACTACCATCATAACCACTGCATTTTGATATAGTTGCCCTTAAATCTTCAAGTGTCATTCCATCTTTTATGGTTTCTACATGTACTCTACTCCATGATATCTAACTTGACCTTCGGGACTAATAACAAATTCTCCATCTACATGACAATAACAAAATAATTCCTTCCCAGAAGTGGAGCCAATATTACAATTCATTGTGCATGCTAAGCTGAAACAAATGAATAATCATTATGTTAGTTCACCGATAATGATATTTTGTCACTTCTTTAAATAAAGATAAATAACAAAACCTCTTCGTCTATTAACAACTTTAGTTTAGGGTTTCACACTTTAACATTAACTATTAACTATAATATCCAACCTATCATAACTGTCATGCCTTAAGCTTCAATGTCATGCAATTAGCTAATGTCTTATTCGACTTTCCCCCCAAAAAAAAATCCCCCATTCCCCAACACTAATCATTGTAAACCCTACCGAAAAGCAACAAACCCATATGGATAAATGCTTCAGCTCACGCAAATAAATATAAGAACTTCACTATCACTAAAGAAACGCCGCAAGTATGCATGATTCGACCTTCATACGTAACCCATTTTACTGTATCAGTTTCATTAGAAAAAATATTGATAGACCCATATTGATAAATGATCATGGTAAGGGATGAAAAGAGGAAGATTATGGTGTACAAAATTACTTCACTTGCTTTTTTCAACCTCATTCTGATTTCAAGACCAGGAATGTGTACCTAACCATACCCACAATCACAATCCTTCAAAATGAAGAACAAAACCACCGTGATCAAACCCAGGATGAAGAGACAAAGATTGTGGTGTGAGAAATTACTAACCTTGCTTGCTTCTACCACCTTTCAAGGTCCCAATGTCCAACGTTCTCTCCATCTTTCTTCAATATGATTCTACAGAGCCATAAGTAGGTCATCCGACATTGCTTTCTTTTTGCTTTTACATCTGAGAAGGTCAAATTTGTCCATTCCCCTTCATTTTTCAAATGACAGATTGGATCATTGACCCTCTCTATCATTTCTACAATTCCAGGACCCAATCTGGAATTGTGTATATTCGAAGGGCTTAATCTGGAATTTTCCCTATTTTTTATATATACCCCTTGAAAATACAAAGAAAATGTTAGAAAATTAGGAAAAATAAGGGGAAACTCTGTCACTATTTATCCATCCCTATTGCATGAAATTATTGAGGAGTTTTAGGTAAGGAATCATCCAACTTAGTTTAAGGAAACACTAAGGTATGTCCAAGCATCAATATCCCTAAGTTTTACATTGATTAAACAAGGATTTTTGCTTGGAAAAATGCTGAAAAATTCGGTTGAGATGTGTGATGCTTAGGGAAGGATAGAAACCTTAATAATCAAGCAAAATAAGCAAGATTAGGTGATGAATGGATTGATTTGTAGATGAAATCAAGGTCAGGGTTTAAAGAAATTTTTTTAGCCAATACTGTTCATGCATAACCAATTTGATTTTGCTTGATTTGATGATTCCAATGGTTTTACAACATGTTTCTGTGTAGGGATATGTTATTGGAAAGTGTTTAAAATCATTAGAATCAAAAATGGAATTTTTAGAAAATTAAGGACCCCTATTCGACCAAACCAGGTTCATGGCGAAGGAGTTTGAATTTCAAAAATCTGATTGCACCATTCGATTCCTCATGAAAAATTGTGTAGGATTGAGTCATAAAATGGTTGATTCTAAAGAAGGAATCAATTTGTTAAAAATCAGAAAAAGGGGGGAATTGTTGAGTTAATGTTGAAGTATTGGAATTAAATTGTTTTGTGATTAATATAGCCTATGATTATGCTTGGTTTAATAGGCATTGAGAGGAGGAATTAAGGAGAAGCATTACTCCTTGGAAGAATTAAGTGGACAAGCTTTACAAAGGTAGCTTTGAAGTATAATTTGATTGTTTATCTTGCTTGTTTGCTCTGATAGTTATTGCTTGGATTGGAGGAACTTTGTGGTGAACTTGATTGTTTGATTGACATTGGTTATGCTTTGGCCAAATGCTTTATGGTATGTCAATGTGGATAATAAGATGTTCCTCTCCTTGTGTCACATCCCAAAAATTTTCACCTGGCTATAAGGGATTAAAAATTGGGATGAGGGTCAATATAAGAATTAGAAGGGGAGATAAAAAACCTTTTGATGTGAAACTCTGAGGAGGTCTGGGCTAGCATTTTCGTAAGTATCAGTCTAGGAAGGGCAAAACGAGAAAATTTGAGAAAAATTCCAGAAAATCCCTGAAAAATGGGAAAGTGGAGAGTAGAGGTTTTGGAAACTCAGTTAAGGCTCAAAAGGTGAAATTTTGGTGAAAATGAATTATTACGGAATTTCCCATAAATAGAGGTTTTCGGGAAATTACTGGAAAAATGAAGAAAAATAATTATTTTAATGAGTTAAAGGCCTCAATAAATTTGGGAGATTGATGGAAAATTCATATAAATGTTTATTTGAATTTATAAAATTGGTTTTAGGCCTTGGAAGCTCAAGGATTAATTTTAGGGAATTTATTTTCCCGTAGTGACACTGATAAAGGCCTAACCGGGGAAAATTCAAAATAAATACCTAGAGGTGGTGAAAAATTATGAAAATTTCCAGATCATATTCTCATATTAAAAGGTGAATTATCATGGAGAGAAAGGAATTTTTGGATGTCTGGAAAAATTATGAAATGTTACTAGTGAATAGTAACCTATAAAGTTTCTAATTATTTTGAGATAGTGATTTGGTTTGCGGGCCATCTTTTTGGGCCAACCCAAACCATTTGTGGGGCCCACAATGGACTTATTAAAGGCCCAATTTCATGCACTTTCCAGATTCCACCATTTTATTAAATAAAATGTGAAATTAAGGGATATTTTTGTGGAAAAATCTAGAGAAATGCCACTTGTTCAAATCTGAATATTTTCCACACTTGATGGCTGCCACATAACCCCATTGAGCTGTCCCAATTCATGCAAATCAGGAGGGAGAGGGCAGATGGAATTTTTCTATAAATACCCCTTGAAAATACATGAAAAATGTTAGAAAATTGGGGAAAATAAGGGGAAACTCTGCCACTGTTCATCCAGCCACACTTGCACGAAATTTTGAGGTGTTTTAGGCAAGAAATCATCCAACCTACTTCAAGGAAACACTAAGGTATGTCCAAGCATCAATATCCCTAAGTTTTACATTGATTAAACAAAGATTTTTGCTTGGGAAAATGCTGAAAAAATCTGAAAATTTCAGTTGAGATATGTGATGCTTAGGGAAGGATGGAAACCTTAATAATCAAGTGGGATAAGCAAGATTAAGTGGTGTATGGATTGATTTTTGGAAGAAAGCCAAGTTAGGGTTTTGGTTCTTCATTTTAGTTTTGCACTGTTCATGCAGAAACAATTTGAGTTTGCTTGATTTGATGATTCCAATGGCTTTAAAACATGTTTTTGTGTAGGGATTTAATCTTGGAAGATGTTTAAAATCATTGGAATCAAAAATAGAAGTTTTGGAAGCATATAGCCCCCTATTCGGCCAAGTGAGGATCATAGGGAAGGAGTTTGAATTTTAAAAATCTGATTGCACCATTGGATTCCTCATGAAAAATTGTGTAGGATTGGGTCATGAGAAGTTTGATCCTATAGGAGGAATCATTTTATTGAAAATCAAAGAAAAAGAGGGGAATTGTTAAGCTAATGTTAAAGTGTTAGAATTAAGTTGTTTTGTGATTAATATGGCCTATGTTTATGCTTGGTTTAATAGGCATTAAGAGGAGGAATTAAGGAGAAGCATTGCTCCTTGGAGGACTTAAGTGGACAAGCTTTGCAAAGGTAGCTTTGAATTATAATTTGATTTTTTATCTTGCTTGGATTTGGAGGAACTTTGTGGTGATCTTAACTGTTTGATTGACATTGGTTATGCTTTGGCCAAATGCTTTGTGGTATGTCAATGTGGATGATATGATGTTCCTTTCCTTGCCTGGTATTTGGCATGAATTCCTATGAGTTGGGAGTGGTTTGGATTGCATGAACATGTCACAATTGAACTTGCATTGATTTACATGATAATTATA